AAAATATTTTTGATAGTGTTTTGCAGTGTATTAGTATATTATCTGTAAATTATATTGTCAATTTCCCCCTGGACATACCCCCGACAATATCAAATTTAAATCCAATTTAATAATTCAATTTGATAACTGTTCTTTATCCAAACTAACAAATTTGTGGGTTGAATTTATATATATTAGAAAATTGTAATTTTAATATACCTCCATATCTATGGATCGTATGCCCCACTTATAGAGACATTGGATTATATTGGCTCTATTATTTGGTACGAAATACAACATCAAATGTCTGCTACGTGACATCTTACAGTACTGAATCCTTTTGAGGTTATTTTCGGTGATTGTTGACACTTAACTGGTAATAGCCGGGCTGTAGCTTGCCGCTTTGTTAGAATTTGAGGTTTGTTCGCACTAGGTCTGTTTAATGTGATTATATTGTTTGTATATCATATTTACAGACCGCTAAAAGTGTGTAAATTGAGCAAATATAATGGGATTTGGCACAAGGACTTTCAAATTTCGAATAGTGGTTTACTATAACTATATTTCAATTAATATAAGTTAGCAGAAAAAAATAACTACATTGATTTGAAGTGATGTACATGCTTTCCCTTAATAATATTGAATAATATGAACAAAGTTCATATTCTTTGTATCCGTAATTTATAATTTAAGAACCACTCGTTAAAAAAGTCTACATACTACATTTGAGAGTATGTAGACATCCACATTTGAAGGCTATCATTTATCAATTGTATTACAATCATGTGCTTCCGTAAATATATCATTGAATGCTCTACAAAGGAAAAATAAATCAACGAATGTGGTCAAGGAAGCACCGGGAGTTTGGAAATGATCCAATGTGATATATTTTGTTTTCAAATCTAAAATTACTTATTTGAGAAAAGCTCTGCGGGTCGATTGTAACCACAAGAAATATTCACTGAACAAGTTAAAAACTATACATCGATCAGCAAATGGAAGTGGTAAATACACATAAAGGTTTATTTTACAGTTAATTAGATCTGTTCTGATTGCCTAAAGAGTTTTTGGAGTTTATTTAATAGTTTATATCCAGAGTTATTACACAAAAGATACTCAAATCCATTTAAATTTGGATGAACTGCTAAACAAATTGATGGTTCTGTTACTATAATAGAATCTTTTTCATTACAATTATATCATTTAAACTTTTTTATTATAATTAGTTTTTAGATATTAATTTTAAAATACTAGCAACTGAATAGGTTGCTACAATTTCTGTACTACTCTACAATGCAAGTGCAATTGCCCTTAAAATACTTCTATAAAAGCATGTGAAAAGTGTAATAATTTAAGATGAAATCTCGAAATGCAGTAATGACGTACTGTCCTTTTGTCAAGAATCCTATAACTCTGGCGGTTAAGAAAATTTGATATTTGATTTACATTTCACAGATTATGCTTTACTCTGTTCCTTTTCATCTTATATTTAAAAGGTGATCAATTTAGATTTAAAATCTGGGTCGAAAATCTTATCTGAAAAACTTCTATGAGAAAGTTTCGATAACTTTGATTAAGGAATATTCACACTTCAGTACAATTTATTCTTATTTAATTACCTGCACATTTTATTAAGAAAACATCCATTGTTACATATTCAACAGAAAGCGCATATCCACTTTGGAGTTTAAGTTCTTCAAATGTCTCTCCCATATTAATAGACATATTAATAGACAATTTCTTACATCAGTCAGTCCTTACGAACTGTCGTTTAACAAAGGGTTCGTCTTCAAAGTTAAAGCGAGTCAATATATTAACGAAACGTTCTGTAATCTAAAATATATCTTATATATGAGGTAATTCATAGATATCATTACAAACTATACCAAAATCATATACTATACTACAATCATATATTATAATCAGGTTACATAGAAAATGTAATACACAATCATTGCTAACCCTTTCTATATATATTAACAGCCAAATAACTAAGTTTGACATAAAATTCACTGTGTTTCTTCCTATTCTAGAGATATTTATATTTAATTTGGATTTTAAAATAATTTCACTCCTTTATATTCAAGAATAATTTATTTATTATATTTTAACGAAATCAACTAAGTAGATTCCATATATTTTTCTGATCTACGAATGTTACGAATTAATTGCTTTTGCTTGTGTTTAAGTTCCTTCCCAAGTTATAAATACGTTTAAATAGGTTTATTCCTACTCCATTTTTAGTGACTTTTTAGGATCCTGCAGAAAGTACTGTATATCTTAGTGTGTGTTAGTGCGACTATCGCAATACCTAATTTATTATTGTTATTGCATTTTTTGTTGAAATTTATTGTGATTTCTTGAGTATCCAAGAATACCAAAATAGTCTTGATTGGATTTAGTCATTATAATACTAAAAAAGATAACTATATAAACTATTGAATTTAACAAAAAATAAGATTTAAAACATCATCATTTGTCGAAATATATATTTTTATTTAGCTAATTTATTATTATCGAAGTACAAATTCTTATTAAATCAAAAGTAATTCAAATTTTAATGTATTCTAAATTTAATTATACTTACACAAATTTTTATTAATTTTTTGTTATATTATACAAAATAAATTATTTTTGTATTACATTTTTTTTTTATAATTGAACTAAAAATGATTTAAATCAGTCTTTTAGAGAAATAAAAATATATAAATAAAATAAAAAACACAGCCGATTTATATAAATAAAAAAAATAAAATAATTTCATTTATTAAATAATTTTTATCTTAGTTTTTTGAACTTATCTATTAATAATTATCTAACTTAATTATTAAACCGTTATATTTTCTTTTTTATATTACAAATTCTCATTTAATATATATATATATTAAAAATAATGCTAGCTTATGTTATTATGACATATAAATACTTCTTAAATAAAATTCATTTGAAGCCCATGATGCTAATCCATAGTCGTATTACATTTATTATATATCTCTTCTTTTGGTAACATATTGGTAAATTTTTGGTTATTAGGAGTCCTTATTATATTTATTATATCCATTATTTTAATATAAATATTTTTCTATTGTTTCTTTTAAATTATTTTTTAATTTTCACAATGAAAAACCATTATACACTGAGACAAAAATTGTGTATTTGAATGAAATTCATGTTTTACAAATTCCTTTCGAATACATTTGCATATAAGATATTATATTTTTGTTTTTAAATCGACTTCTATAACTTTTTTCCTTGATTTGTGTTACATATGTTATATGGCATATACTATTAATACGAAATATTTTTTTAAAGAATTATAAATAATTATTGCATAATTTAATTATTAAATAATAATAAAATAAATAATAATAAATAACAATAATAAATAATAATTTAAATAATAATTAATATTTTTAAATAAAAAAAAATTGAAAAATTGAAACGATTAATATATTAAATTACGAAAGCAATCGTGCACATATTAATTATAAATTAATATTAGGTAAATTATGTATAATTTAAAAATAATAAAAATAAATAATTTTATAAAAAATACTAAATTATAAGTTATCAAAAAATTCATTGAATTTTATTTATTTATTATTTTCTTAAATTAAATAAAATTACATACATTTATATTACACGGAAATATTTTCATCTTGTTTAAATTCTTTAATAGTTTCATGTATTTTTTGAAGTTTATTGATTTTTGGTTATTTATTTATATTAAAACTAATCACAAATGCTTATAAATTACTATAGTTTTATTTCTGTGAAGTAGACTTTTATTTTTAAGTTTTAATTAGTGCTTAATGTACCTGCATTACGATGTTCGAACAGTTCGATTATCTCATTCAAACATTTGAATCGATCACTTTGAATATTTGATAATGTTACAGTTATTCGAACAGCATATCTGCTTTATTTATATGTTTCATTTAATTTTTTTTTGGTTTACATAAATGCATTCCTCAAGTATGACATGATGTTCAAACATTCTGGAACACTGTTCGGTTCTAGTCAAATGCTCTAAAATTTTGGAACATCCAGAACATGACATGATGTTCGAACATTTTAGAACAATTCGTTGTGTTTGAGCAAAGTGCTCTTCTCAAGCATATTCGAATATCAAATGTTAGAAGCTGACAACAACTTTAATAATACTTAGGCCCTAATATATTATTGATTATGTGTGAAAACATCGAATAGATCAAGTAGTGCCGAATGAAAATAGAATCAATGTTTTTTTTTTTTCAATTTACCTAATAAATACCAGTATTGACCGAATATTAATTATTTACATATAAAATCGGTTTTAAATCCAATTTCATTTTATAGCTAAATACAAAATATCATCTTATGTAGGGTTATCATCTTGTAGGGTTTCAAGGACTTTGAAGCAGATTTAAAGATTTAATTTATTATCAATTCTGTAACTATTAAAATAAACATAAAAATATTTTTACGGTTTTATATATAGAACACACTTAAAATTAATTATTTTATTTATTTTTAAATAAATCCTAATACAATTACGGTTTTATGTTTAGAACACACTTAAAATTAATTATTTTATTAAAAAATATTTTTTTCCTAGGACTAATTTTTAAAAGCTCAAAGGTTTTTATAACTGAGTTTTCAACATATTATCGCTTTTATTATCTTCATCTGAAGCCATTGTACAAATTGTACGTTTCTCTTCTAAACGTAATATCACATCTTCACCTAAAGCAATTGACACTCTACCATTTTGTTGACGCGAGCTAACCTGATGACCCTTTTCAGCTGTTGTAGTCGATGAAGTCGTGGTGGATGAGTTATTGTTACCTACTGTCAATGTGTTATTACATTTCGTCACTTTTGGTTTGGAATTCATTATACGCCTCGAACCACGTCTGCGACTGTTTTGTTTTGTGAATACACTCGGTTCTACCTGTAGTTGCGCATTGATATCCTGTTGAGCCATACAAGTGAAGGCCTTTGAAAAGCTCTTGCGAAAATTATCACTCAAAAATGCATAAAGTATTGGATTCATCGCAGAATTCGAATAAGCCAAACATCCCAAAAGCAAGAATATTAAAATTTCCAAACGTGATAGGTCGCGTTGGCCAGGATTGGAATTAATTAAGGCTACCTGTGATATCCAGTGTGGTAGCCAACATAAAATATACACAGTTATTACGGTGAGTACTAAACGTGTCACCTTGCGATGTGAACGTTTCTTTTCCTTTGATTTATGCTTCTGACCTACCGAATGCAATTTGCGTATGACCAAGTAATAAAATATCAATATGAAGCAGAGTGGTGTCATGAATCCTAAAAAGAAGGTATACAATATAAAGGTAGTACCCGAATGTTTTTTGTATGTCTCTGGCCAATCAATATTGCAGGAGAAATTCACGCCATCTTCCTGTGTTACTGCACTGGCATAAAGTATCACTGGTAACATGAGTACTGCTGATGTAAGCCAAGCTATGGCAGATACTTTCTTAGCTATATGCAATGTACGATAACGTGGTGATGTGATCGGATGGCAAACAGCTAAATAACGATCTGCTGACATAATCAGCAAAAATATGGAAGATGTAAATTGCGTTATAGACGTGCTTACCAAATAAGCCTTGCATATGTATTCACCAAATTTCCAACTGCAAATACGCATAGTATAAATCAAAAATGGTATCCCAATGAGAAAGCATTCATCGGCAATAGCCAAATTGAGTATGTAAAAGTTGGTTACGGTTTGCATTTTGGAAAAGCGTAGCACCACATAAATAACCAGTGTATTACCGAACAGACCCACAATGCATACAACAGAATATAGAATTAATGTGAATATATCTGCAAATGAATTACGATATGCCAGACAGTGTTGATGAAAGGTCATATCCGTTTCCGTTTGACTTTGATTTGCATTGCCTTCGCTCGTATTTAAGTTCGGTGGTGGCTGTATGTTCTCATTGAAATTCGAATTGCCTTCCATGTCGCCCAACTCCATGCCGTGTGACTGAGACCATATTTGCATTCTGGTAATGACTGTTTTTGTATTGTTTTCTGTTGTTGTGCTGGTTATTGTTTCCGTTATTGTTGTTGGCATAAACGGCGGTTTTAATGTTTGCGCAACAATTGCGTTTGACAGTTGCAATAAGGCAAATGCCACACTGATAAGTATCGTTGCAGTTGCGTTTGGTTGCCTTTTTTTTATTCCGAACATTTTTTCTGCGGTTTTGAATGATTTTCAGGACTTAAGTTGCTGATATTGTGATTATTGCAGTTGCAATTATTGCTGTTGTTGCTGCTTTATAGCTCGATTATGTTCGTTTTTGTTACGGATGTTGTTAACGAATAAAAACTTTTAATTATATTTGTTTTTGTGGTAACTATGGGCACTCATTGTCCAAATCTGCAAAAAAAAATTTAGAAATTTTATTTCGAACTATTTATATCAAATTAAAAATATGTAATTAAATTATTTCATTATATTGCAATTAATTTAAATTGAATTATAAATTAAAATATTTAATAATAAATGTAAAAATATTAAGGGTACTCATCTAAGCATATGAATTAATCAAATCTGTATTTTATGTACACGATTTATCAATAAGCTGTATAATGGCACTAAAATAAAATAAAGAATAAAATGCCGAAATTGAACGAAAAGTTCAAACTAAACTGTATTTACAAAGATATTTTTGTATATGATTTTCTTGCGTTGATAAATTTATTCGGTAAAATTTTCGTTAAAATTTATCAAGTATCTGTAAACAATTTTTGATACAACATTTAACATTTAACTTATAAAGTAGATAAATTTATACGTTTATAAGGTATTTATCAGTTAAGATGAATACCCTTATTATATTAAAATAATATTATATATTTCATAGACTTGATTAGTACAAACTGTAATATAAAATAATTATTAAACAATAAAGTTTTCCATATAATAACAATAAGTGGAAACGTAAACAAGTTTAGACGATTTAAAAAAAGCATTTTAAAATACAACTATATTCAGCACTAACAAAGAAGATATGAAATTTTAGCTTACTTTATAAGCTTAGTTACAAAACGCTAAGAAAACGCTGCTTTTTAACCATTATAAATATTTCAAAAATTATCCATTACAGTATACATACCCCTCTATCCTTTGAGGACTATAAATATTACTTATTAGCAAAAAAAAATGGAGGCTGAAGTATAAAGAAACGAAATTTTCGTTGGAACTAGAGCTCCAATTAATAGATTCATATTGGCTAATAAATTGCAACTTTTAGTAAATTGCTACTGTATTTAAAGAAATATCTCAAAGTATAAAACGAAGCTTCAAGCGTATTCATCTGAGAGAGAGCGGGTGGTCAACAAAATTTTTTAACATTATAGAAAGGAACCACTGACTGACATTGGCTAATAATTGCAACTTCTAGTAAAATGCTACTGTATTTAAATAAATATCTCAAAGTATAAAACGAAGCTTCAAGCGTATTCATCTGAGAGAGAGCGGGTGTTCAACAAAATTTTTTAACATTATAGAAAGGATCCACTGACCACCAATGACAGACAGGCAATACTTTACATTTTATTCTAACCGTAATCATTTAGTTAGCTACACCGCCGCCAATGTAAGAATCCTGAATTTCTTGGTATGAAATACTTGGCGGATTAAGATCAGTATCAAACAAATTCTGTTGTGTTGATTTGCTTAAAAATGTCTTTTTCTAAGTATAAAATAAAATAGCACAGATTTACATTTGTTTGCGTGGGATCTGCTTAACGAGGCCAATTCAAAGTCATAGTTAAAGTTACATATCGAAAATTTAAAATAAGTTATTCTACTTAAGTTGAATTGGAGCTGAATATCTATAACTCTACCAAAAACTATTTGATGGAAATTTAGGGGAAAAATATTTAAAGACATTACTTCATCGCTAAGTGAAGATTAGGACGAAAAACGTGTTTCTGTTTTAAGCACGTATGTGCATGATAGACTTAGCATGATTGAGTTGCAGAGTATTGTGGTGCTGCAAATGACTTTCAATGCAATCCATGTTGGTTATTCTTAGATCGCATGAAAAGAAATACATTACTGCAAATATCCTTGAAAAGGTGTAACAAATATTCAGAATTTATGAAGTCACGGTGTAAACATTTTCAACATATTCACAGCAATGTAGAAAGTAGAGCAAAACTCGGTTAATAAGAATTAACCGTAGTACTCGGACTTGCAAAAGTGGAAGTGAGTACTACAGAAATTATCAACAAGATTTAAAATTATACTTAAGATATAGCAGTTTATATATTCGTAAAAAGTGCTATCTTTAGCATTAAGAATAAGATAGTTTGTAGTTATTGTTTAAAACAGGGACTTTTTTATTCAGTATATTAATAAAAAGTAACCAACAAATAAGTGTCAATAGCATTCTAAGTCAGTTCTGCGGAGAAAATGGATTTAAGAATATTAATAGTATTGGTATAGAGTATTGAAAATAATTAATGTTACTATCATAAAAATGTACCCTCATCTGGGTTTCTGGACATAGAAATATCGATAGGAACTAGAAAGCTAACAGTTTAGCCCGCTCTGGTGCCTCCCTGGATGTGTCCTTGGCGGTAGTGGTTTATATTACTCTATCATTAAGAGAAGTACCCTCTTCTAATTTCTGCAACTTACCAACTGCAGACTAACATGGCCCAACTACAATAAAAATATATCCTCGGAACTCATCAAAAGAGACCGCGTAAACACTGCAAGGCTTACTGCAGTTCTTTCTGGTCATTGGTGTGTGCAGAGAAACTGCACATTCCTCATAATCCACACTGCAGCAGTTGTGGAAACCCGCAGAAAATAAAAAAATATAATACATTTTCTCTGTGAATGCCCGGTTTCGGCGTCCAGAAGATGTAGGTTCTTAGGAATATACTTCTTTGATCGTTTATCAGGTTGTTCATCGGTGAATATAAAAGACCTATTAAATTATATAAATTCGGTTAGATGGATTTTGTCTCTACTCTTCTATACTACGTTTCTTGTGAGGAATGAAAATCGTTGGGGTATATAAAAGTTATCTAATATAATGGTCTGCCATTGCAACCAACCAGCACAAAAAAGTTCAAAAAATAAATGAGTAAAAAAAATTTTTGAATATTTGAACTTTAGAAAAAGAAAGAAATTTGTAAATTTAACAGAGCTGTATATTTGATTATACAGCTTTGTGTAATATTGAAGGAAACATTACATCATTTGAAATATGTATATATCAAGTCGAAAAAGTAAATGGAGCAATCGATGTCTATTGGTTGTTGCATAAGGATTTCTTAAATTTATTTAAGAATGGAATTTCAGGGCTCTATCCTTTATGTATTTTTTGATGGGACCATGGTACAATGTACCATGGTACTTTGAAAAGTCTTCTCAGAGCCTGGCTTTGTGCAATTTCTAACTGGCGGATAGAAGTATTTGAAGCTTTGCTAAACGCTACACAACCATATATTATAATTTCTTTAATTTTTCATTTAAATTTAATCTATAGTAGTTATCAGAGTTCTCATAATTTATCACTTACTGCATTGAAATTTTCTGTAATATTTTATGTTTTCTAATCGAAATCATATATAAATGCACTCCAACGTGTTTCTCCGTGAATTTGTGTAAATATAAATTATTCCCAATGGTAAATCGTACACACCGTACGAAATCAAAAATTACACTTTAATCACCAGAGCAATAAATTTGCAGCGTTAGAGGGTGAACTTTAACAGAACTGTTGCATAGGCAGCACTGTTACTGTAGATTACAGGGGTGGGCGCACTTTAACATTAAAGCAGATAAGCTTAAACGTTATTTGCATGAAAAATTAAGTTTGTTTAAATTTATTTGTGTAACTGGTCGCCTACAAATATTAAACGCCTAAAGTGACCATAAACATGCGTTCGGGGAGCAATTCATTTGCATTACACGCTATACTCGTACGTAACATACATAACATACTTCAATGTAAACATAAAATTTTGTTTACGTGAGTACAACACTCCGGTTATAAAATAAGTGAAGCAGCCAAAAGTACAAATATGAACAAATATTTTCTCGTCTAGACAAAATATTCGAGTAAAACACATTCGAGTGCACACAATTAAATTTTGAACGCTATTCTTAATAAAAACATTAAATTGCATGTTGGAAATAAAAGCAACACCAATAACAGCAGCAACAACAGCAACAGCAGCAACAACTGCAACAGATAGATTGAAGCGTTTAAGAAGTAGTTGGAGAGTGCCAACAACACAAAAGCAACATTAAGCATAATTTGAGATAACAAAATTGCAAATACAATTTGCGAACAACATTGAAATTGTTCAAATATTGAAGTTGTCGCTGCACATTTGCATGCAATATTATCATCATCATCATCACACGATGACACTTTAGCAATTTGATTGTCTGCATTACTCCAAGCATTACTCGCTCGTTCATATCGCACGAATGTGTAGATGTAGACTCATATGAAGCCGTCATTTGTAATCACTGTGGTGTCTCTCCACAATTCTTGGCGATGTTGTCGCTGCTGTGACTAAAACACCAATTTGGGTTTAGCTGAAGAGTGCCATGTCATGCCTCACTAAATAGCGATTTAATCGTTGTGGTTTTGGAGTCGTAAATGCAGCCTTACGCGCCACAACAAAAAAAGAGGTTAAGTGCTTTAAGCCAAGGATATAGTGAAAAATAGTGGCACATGTGAGTTGCAGATTATTTTGTCGTTCCAATTGCCGCAATTTTAGGCTTTGTCAAATTGAATGGATTGTTTTTTGGGTTGAACTGTATTTGACATTTTCCGAAAAATATTTGTCATTTTTGTATTTCTTTTTATTTTTTAGTCCTGAAATTCTATTTTAATGGAAAGTTTAAAGTTGTTTATTTTTTTTGTTATTTCAATTTATCAGAATTTAGTAATTTTGTGAACATTTTTGAATATTGTTGGAAATTTCTGTAACTGACAACTGAAGATACATATAATATTTTTAAGTATTTGAATAAAGCGTACGTACCGAAATATAAAAAAATTTTTTAAACTTATTTTAATAATTTCTTTTGATAAAAGTTTTCATAATAAATAAATTATAAAATTTTAAAAGAAAAAAATATATACCTTTGGCTTGCAAAGTAAATGGAGTTTATAATTTCAAAAACGGTTATAATAAATACTGCCTTGATGTAGATGTTTTTTTTTTACACGAGAGTTAGAGAGAGAGTTCATTTTTCTGTATATATAGATGACTATAATATACTATTTTAAAGTTTTGAAAATAATATCAAAATAATCAAAATAAAGTGTACAGTACATTTCCAAAATTTGTTTGCTTTAAACCAATAGTTTAAATAGCGTTTTCGA